AAGATCCATAGAAGATTAAATGCTAGAGCAAATGTGGATCCAAATCTTGGGAACTTTGAAAACCATAATCAGAATGCAAATGCGCGACCTCCAACCCAGAACGTTACGGCAGGAGGGAATATGCAGAGAAACCGGGAAGAAACACGTCTTAATCGGGATGCTTAACCTATCAGAGGACGTGGTGATCCTGATGTTTACAGAAGGAAATACAGTATAGGGTAATGCAATAACAGCCCATTTACTGGCGAGATACTAAATGCTCCATTCCCAGAGGAATTTGATTCGGCACACTTGCCGATGTAACACCCCGTTCTAGAATCGGTTTGTTATCATTACGTACGGCATTAAACGCAGTTACACACACCAAATTGAATTAAAATACGGATAAACTTTTTCCTTTTTATTTATAAACGCTTTTGATTAAATCAATTCCGTACTTAAAACAATTCTCATAAGGTGAATGTAACTTAACTACATGTGGAATTATTACTGTAGGTCTCACTTTTATTGCTTTTAGAATCTAAACGCGTCCACCCTTTATTTATTTAAGAAATTCCTATTCTACTCTTATGGTCTCCATTTGTTCAACATATTATAGAATTTTTCAAACCGCGTGGGTTCAAACCGCGCTCAAATCGGAGCACCGCAGCCCAAGTTACGCATTTTCTAAGAAAATTGTGCAAAATTTCCACGACCCTCACGCCCATAGCGTGGGTTCCACGCCCATAGCGTGGGCAAAAAGAAAGGTTGACGCTTAGAGCGTGAATCTCATGCTCAGAGCGTGGAAGTTCTGGAGCAAGCACCCAAAACAGGACAATCTGACCTCTTGTGGTATTCTACCCATAACTTGAGTTGTACTCATCCAAATTACCCAATCTTGGTCTCTATAGAAAGCTAAGAGAAATATCTACAACTTCCATTAAGACAAAAGGGTCCAAATCTATCATATAAAATACGAAAATTGGATAATAAGACGGGATATCTTTACTTCTACTTGGATTTTCCACTTAGAGGCCTCCTTTCACCTAATTAACCATCATATGATTCCTTTAATACATGAATTCTAGTCTTTCTAAGTACATCTATACAAGATAAACATGCATACCATTTTATCATACATATATCTCCATTAATTACAACCTTTCAACATGTCTTAATTACAATTCATGGGACTTAGCTACAAAAAGAACTATGATCACTCCCTTGGCTTTCAACAACAAGATAGGCACCAAAAGAAGTGAGCATAGGCTAAGTCCATCCAATAAAGCATGGTATACATATAACAGTAGGCTTTCAAATATAGATCCTATACATGGTATTTTTTACATGTCATATGTAATCCAAAAAAAATGCAACATCTTCATGCATCAACTAATCCAAATATGGCCACTTGCCACTGGAGGCTCCTGCACCATCCTTTCCTGAAAGGGGGTCCCCACAACACGGGGTGATATATACGAATATATCAAAGTAAACCAGGGGTCCTTGGAGCATCTCTCCACCCCAAAGTTCAATATCAGTGTAATAGCAATAACAATAACAATGCAATAAATACATATCCATGCAGTGTGTAAACAACATCTCCAGGATAAATCCCTCGAGCTCTCAAGCTGTCCTAAGGATACTCAGATGCAAATAGTCCTACTGGCCAGCTAAACTACCAAGTATGAATTACGCATTGTCATGCAACATACCAACATAGGGGAACACCATCCTATGCCACACCAAAAGCATACATATACGTATAACAAAGCATTTAACTATTTCATTGCATTTATATACACTATCACAACCACTACCCATTCAGGGCTTGGTGGAACAATCAAGCGAATTACACCCAAGGTCCGAAGGCTTACCTCAAAGCTTCATTTCAACCTTTGTTCTTCACCAACTCAACAACCAAGCTTTATAATCAATACCAATTTAAATGAGCTAGTCAAGTTCCATAGCTTCCTCCAATGGTGGGTCCTCCAATGTTAATCCACAAGGCTCATTCCTAGCCATCATATAGGTACAATTAACATTCACCCAACCCATTGTTTACCAATGCAAGAAAATCCACAAACTAAGTATACACCCTAGCAATTTTCAAAGCATAATCAAATAGCTAAATAAGTTCATTTCTACCGATGAAACCTCATTCCTAGCATTTTTCATAACATGTACTAAGTCTCAATCCACCTAGAACATAGCCAATTTACTCACATAATCACAAACCCTAAAACATTATTCATCCAAAACCTAAATCATGCAAAACTTAAGAAATTTGTGTGAAAGAGAGTGGAGAACTCACCACAATGGATCACACAACAAGGATTGGTTTCTCCTCAAGCTTCCATGGAAGTAGAAGCCCGCAAATCTCTCAACTTTCCATATGGGTCGAAACTTTGGAGAAAGAAATCTCACACCATACTACACCCCACTAAGAACCAAGCTAGGATTCAAGAAGAGAGAAGAATTTGGAGTGGTTTTGGTTTTTGAATCACACAAAATGATGAAGAATCAAGAGAGCTAGGGTTTCCCTCTTTTCCCTCACTTCTCCTCCTCTCCCTTTCTGTTTTTTTGGTCGACAGTGTATGGGGGGAAATGGGTTTTTGGTTTCTTTTATCACTTAACTTTGGTTAAGTGGAATAAAGTGAGTATTAGCTCATCTATCTATTCAGCTCCATTAATTACCAAACTTTACCCAAAAGTCTGGAATATTATTCTAGGAATATTTCCGCTTTTATTTTTATATTTTGGGTACTTTTGCCTACACCCATTTATACCCCTTAATTTTTACAGAGTACACTTTTTACCTCAAAAGTGACCCCAATTCACTTCAATAGGTCCTATACTTAATTTTACTTACTAATACATGCTTAATTATTTGATTACATGTAATTTACTAATTAATTAGGCTAGGGCTATTATAGTCACCCCACCTTTTTGCGATTTTGTCTGCAAAATCAAGAACATACATGTCCTTAAACTCAGGATATTGCCGGAGAAGCTCGTCTTCCCGCTCCCAAGTGGACTTTTCAGGCGTCTTTCCTTCCCATTGAACCTTCACCATAGGAATGGATTTATTCCTCAGTTTCTTCTCATCTCTTTTGAGTATTTTCAGAGGCCCAATTGGAGTTTTCAAATTCTCCTGGATCTCAACATCATCAGGTTGAACCACATGAGAATGATCAGCTACATATCTCCTCAGCTGAGAAACATGGAATACATCGTGTAAATTTGCTAATTGAGGAGGTAAGACAATCTGGTAGGCAACCGGTCCTACCCTACGAAGAATCTGGTAGGGTCCAATAAATCTCGGACTCAGCTTCCTCACTCCCAGGGCTCGTCCAACACCCGAAACCGGTGACACCTTTAAAAATACATGATCTCCCTCCTCAAACTCTAGAGGCCGATGCTTGAGATCATAATAACTTTTCTGGCGATCTTGAGCCTTTTTCAGACGATCTCTAATCATTTTAATCTGCTCAGTGGTCTCCTGAACAAAATCCAATCCAAATCGCTCTGTGTCCCCAACCTCTGACCAGCAAGTAGGTGTCCTACACCGGCGACCATACAAGGCCTCATAGGGAGCAATACCCAGACTAGCGATAAAACTATTATTATATGAAAACTTAACCAGCGGGAGATATCGATCCCATGCAGTACCCTGCTCCAGGGGGCAAGTCGTCAGCATATCCTCCAACGTCTGAATGGTCCTCTCAGTCTGACCATCTGTCTGCGGATGATAAGCAGTGCTCAGTCTCAACTGAGTGCCAAGAGCCTCCTACAACGCTCCCCAGAAGCGAGAAGTGAACTTCGGGTCCCGATCACTAACAATGCTCTCAGGCACCCCATGAAGCCTCACAATCTCCTTCACATAGAGCCTAGCTAATCTCTCAGCAGAGAAATCTACCCGTACTGGCAAAAAGTGTGCGGACTTTGTCAATCTATCCACAATCACCCATATAGAATCATAACTAGCCTGTGTTTGCGGCAACCCCACTACGAAATCCATGGAGATACCCTCCCATTTCCATTCAGGAACATCCAGAGGTTGCAACATACCAGATGGCTTTTGATGCTCAATCTTGACCTTCTGACAAATGAGACACTTAGAGACAAATTCAATAATATCTTTCTTCATACCAGGCCACCATAAATTAATTTTTAGGTCCTGATACATCTTTGTAGCTCTCGGATGGACGGTGAATTGACCCTTATGGGCCTCTGTCATTACTTCATCCGCCAACTGTCTAGGTACGACAATACGACCCTGATATAATAGTATACTCATCATTGCAGGATACACCACTCTGACCTTTCAGTCATTTAGCACTTTCATTTTGCAGTTGAGCTTCTTTAATTCTGGTCATCATTTCATTTTCGATTCTCGTAATTTCGATGCCACAAATTCTGCATGGAAAGACTTTAGATAATTTCATGTCTCTGAACCTCTCAATCACATCATGATCTCTCATCATCATGCTAGTTACGCTCACAGATTTCTGGCTCAATGCATCAGCTACAACATTAGCCTTGCCGGGATGGTATTTCAATTCGAAGTTGTAGTCCTTTAGGAACTCAGTCCACCGTCGTTGTCTCATATTCAACTCCTTTTGATCAAACAAGTATTTCAAACTCTTGTGGTCACTAAATACTGCAAATTTCATTCCATACAAGAAATGTCTCCACTGTTTCTGCCCAAAAACAATTGCAGCAAGTTCCAAGTCGTGGGTCGGATAGTTCTCTTCATGCGGTTTCAATTGCCTCGATGCATAAGCTACCACCCGCCTATCTTGCATCAGCACACATGCCAATCCCTTTTTGGAAGCATCGCTGTATAACTTAAATTCATCTTCCGGATCAGGAAGTACTAACACCGGAGCTGTTGTCAATTTTTCCTTAAGATTCTGGAAACATTCTTCGCATTCCTGCGTCCAAATAAATGGAGTATCCTTCCGGGTCAAACAAGTTAATGGCAAAACCATTGCCGAGAATCCATTTATAAATCTCTGTTAATAACCGGCCAAACCCAGAAAACTCCTTACTTCCGTTACAGTCTTGGGTCTCTCCCAATCAATAACTGCCTCTATCTTACTTGGATCAACTGCCACTCTATCAGCAGAAATGACGTGACCCATGAATTGCACTTGAGAAAGCCAAAATTCACATTTAGACGGCTTTGCATACAACTGTTTCTCTCTAAGAATTTGCAACACCGTTCTCAAGTGATCTGCATGCTCTTCTTTACTCTTAGAATATATCAGGATATCATCAATAAACACAATCACGAATTGATCCAGAAACGGCTTAAAAATGTGATTCATATAATCCATAAACACCGCAGGAGCATTAGTGAGTCCAAATGGAATTACCTGGTACTCATAATGTCCATATCTAGATCAGAAAGCAGTCTTCGGAATATCTTCCTGCCTAATTCGGATCTGATGATAACCCGACCTCAAATCAATCTTTGAAAAGACACAAGCACCCCTCAACTGATCAAGCAAATTATCTATACGAGGGAGAGGATACTTGTTCTTAATAGTAACCTTATTCAGCTGACGGTAATCAGTGCACAATCTCATGCTACCGTCCTTCTTCTTGACAAATATAACTGGTGCTCCCCACGGGGACACACTTGACCTGATAAACTGCTTAGCCGAAAGCTCCTCAATATGCTTCTTTAACTCGGCTAATTCCGATGGTGACATCCGATATGGAGCCAAATAAATAGGCCCCACACCAGGCAACAAATCGATTGTGAACTCAATCTCTCTATGAGGTGGAAGTTGCGGAATCTCATCCGGAAACACATCCACAAACTCCTTCATCACGGGAATATTGTCCATCTCCTCATGACTTCCGCCCACTAAACCCCCCCACAAAGACATATCTCAATGCCCCGGCCCTCAAAGCCTTTCTAACTTGTAACACAGATAGATATGGGGAAGAACTAGTAGCAGAATCATCAGCAGAAAGCACAATCCTTTTTCTACGGCAGTCTATCATAGCACAGTTCTTCGATAACCAGTCCATTCTCAAGATAACTTGAAGATTGATCATAGGCAAACAGATAAAATCTAGCACATAATCTCGGCCTTCATATTTAAATTCAACATCCTTACATAAAACTGATGTATAACACTCTTCTCCAGTAGCAGTCACCACTTTCATTGGAGGAGAAATGTCGTACATTTGTAAATTTAGCCCAACGGCCATAAAAACAGACATACAGGAGTGTGTAGCTCCTGAGTCAAACAAGACTTCAATATCCATATTATCAATATAAATTGTTCCTTTTATAAGGTTTGGGGCCTTCTCTGATTGCTGACGGTCCATGGTATACACTCTACCAACCGTCTGAGATTCTATCATAGGTGGAACAGTCGAGACAGAAACAACAGTAGCTTGAACTGCCATAGTCCTCACTTCATGCTGAGGACACTGCCTGGAGTAGTGGCCGGACTTTCCACACTTATAGCAAATAACCTCACCCGTAGCACACGGACCTCTATGCTCCTTTCCACATCCTTTACACTTGGGAGGAGGTCCTCTATCAACAAAATTCTTTTGAGTTCCAGACTTTTTGAATAAGTCGAATGGATTATTCACACTCAGCTTTTTACTTTTCATCTTCTTGTTCTTCCAATAACCTGAGCCCGTTGCTTTATTGGCATTAGGTGCTTGGGCCTCAGAGGGCTTCTTGGTCTGGGACCCCTTGTATACTTCTTCTACCTTTCGGCACTGATTCACAAATCTGCTAAAATCTCGGATGTCACAGTTTGATATCTTCCGAGACATGTTCTCATTCAGACCCCATTGGAACTTGGAGGTCATCTCAGCTGGAGTGGGTAGGGCTCGCCCATAGTTGGCGTATTTCACCAACTCGTTGAATTTAGCAAAGTATTGGTCAATTGACATCGAATCTTGCTTTAGATCGTTGTACTCATTCTGCATCTGCTCCCTAGCCTCCCTAGGGAAGTAGTTATCCAAGAACAACGTCTCGAACAACCGCCAGGTGATTTCCCGGCCTTCAGCTTCTAGGGGTTGCACGGTATTAGTCCACCAATCCTCAGCTTCCTCTTTTAGCATATACACAGAGTAGGCCAACTTCAATGTATCAAGGCATCTCATCACCCTGAAGATCTTCTCCATAGCCTGGAGCCATTTTGCTGCCGCCATTGGATCATAGCCTCCATTAAAAGTAGGAGGTTTATGTTTTCAGAAAGCCGTCAATCTCCTTTCTTCAGCTTCGTGTTCATTAACATGCTCAACACATGGTTGACGAACCTCGGTGTGATGACTATGACTTCCAAAATGGTGACTAGCCTCACCCTCATTGTTACCCAATACACCCTCTTCATGTAAAAGAGGTGGAAAAGGCGTGGCAGTGTGAGGAGGAGGAGTGGGTTGCCGGTTCTCATGTCTAGCACCCCTCAACGTCCTCAACTCGTTCATCATCGCGGCCATAGCATTCCGCGACTCTTCATTTGTTTTCCTCAGATTTTCATTGGCTTGCCGGCTAGCAGCCAATTCCCTTTGCACAACTACAAGTGTTTCAGCCACGGGATCCGACTGCCCGCCGGCTGCCCCACAACCACCGCGAGGCCTAACTAGAGCAGCCAAAGCAGGTTCTTCCTGAGCATTGGTATTCGATGGTCCATGGTTATTCCGGTTCCTCGTCATGACACTACACATGTAACACAAAGAAATGAGTTGATCAGGCTCACACTTAGTGATCACAAATGCAATAATCATAAAGAGTACCAAAAAAATTATAGAGCATTAAACACCAAGCATATATATATATATATATATCAATAGTCCACAAGTTTCCCTACAAAACTGCTCTGATACCATAAAAGGTAACACTCCGTTCTAGAATCGGTTTGTTATCAATACGTACGACATTAAACACAGTTACACACACCAAATTGAATTAAAATACGGACAAACTTTTTCCTTTTTATTTATAAACACTTTTGATTAAATCAATTCCGTACTTAAAACAATTCCCATAAGGTGAATGTAACTTAACTACATGTGGAATTATTACTGTAGGTCTCACTTTTATTGCTTTTAGAATCTATACGCGTCCACCCTTTATTTATTTAAGAAATTCCTATTCTACTCTTATGGTATCCATTTGTTCAACATATTATAGAATTTTTCATTAGTTACGTGTGGGTTCAAACCGCGCTCAAATCGGAGCACCGTAGCCCAAGTTACGCATTTTCTAAGAAAATGGTGCAAAATTCCCAGGACCCCCACGCCCATAGCGTGGGTTCCACACCCACAGCGTGGGCAAAAAGAAAGGTTGACGCTGAGAGCGTGAATCTCACGCTCAGAGCATGAAAGTTCTAGAGCAAGCACCCAAAATAGGACAATCTGACCTCCTGTGGTATTCTACCCATAACTTGAGTTGTACTCATCCAGATTACCCAATCTTGGTCTCTATGGAAAGCTAAGAGAAATATCTACAACTTCCTTTAAAACAAAAGGGTCCAAATCTATCATATAAAATACAAAAATTGGACAATAAGACGGGATATCTTTACTTCTACTTGGATTTTCTACTTAGAGACCTCCTTTCACCTAATTAACCATCATATGATTCCTTCAATACATGAATTCTAGTGTTTCTAAGTACATCTACACAAGAGAAACATGCATACCATTTTATCATACATATATCTCCATTAATTACAACCTTTCAACATGTCTTAATTACAATTCAAAGGACTTAGCTACAAAAAGAACTATGATCACTCCCTTGGCTTTCAACAACAAGATAGGCACCAAAAGAAGTGAGCATAGGCTAAGTCCATCCAATAAAGCATGGTATACATATAACAGTAGGCTTTCAAATATAGACCCTATACATGGTATTTCTACATGTCATATGTAATCCCAAAAAAAATGCAACATCTTCATGCATCAACTAATCCAAATATGGCCACTTGCCACTGGAGGCTCCTGCAGCATCCTTTCCTGAAAAGGGGTCCCCACAACACGGGGTGAGATATACAAATATATCAAAGTAAACCCGCGGTCCTTGGAGCATCTCTCCACCCCATAGTTCAATATCAGTGTAATAGCAATAACAATAACAATAACAATGCAATAAATACATATCCATGCAGCGTGTAAACAACATCTCCAGGAGAAATCCCTCGAGCTCTCAAGCTGTCCTAAGGATACTCAGAGGCAAATAGTCCTACTGGCCAGCTAAACTTCCAAGTATGAATTACGCATCGTCATGCAACATACCAACATAGGGAAACACCATCCTATTCCACACCAAAAGCATACACATACGTATAACAAAGCATTAAACTATTTCATTGCATTTATATACACTTTCACAACCACTACCCATTCAGGGCTTGGTGGAACAATCAAGGGAATTACACCCAAGGTCCGAAGGCTTACCTCGAGGCTTCAGTTCAATCTTTGTTCTTCACCAACTCAACAACCAAGCTTTATAATCAATACCAATTTAAGTGAGCTAATCAAGTTCCATAGCTTCCTCCAATGGTGGGTCATCCAACGTTAATCCACAAGGCTCAATCCTAGCCATCATATAGGTACAATTAACATTCAACCAACCCATTGTTTACCAATGCAAGAAAATCCACAAACTAAGTATACAACCTAGCAATTTTCAAAGCATAATCAAATAGCTAAATAAGTTCATTTCTACCGATTAAACCTCATTCCTAGCATTTTTCATAACATGTACTAAGTCTCAATCCACCTAGAACATAGCCAATTTACTCACATAATCACAAACCCTAAAACACTATTCATCCAAAACCTAAATCATGCAAAACTTAAGAAATTTGTGTGAAAGAGAGTGGAAAACTCACCACAATGGATCACACAACAAGGATTGGTTGCTCCTCAAGCTTCCATGGAAGTAGAAGCCCACAAATCTCTCAACTTTCCATATGGGTCGAAACTTTGGAGAAAGAAATCTCACACCACACTACACCCCACCAAGAACCAAGGTAGGATTCAAGAAGAGAGAAGAATTTGGAGTGATTTTGGTTTTTGAATCACACAAAATGATGAAGAATCAAGAGAGCTAGGGTTTCCCTCTTTTCCCTCACTTCTCCTCCTCTCCCTTTCTGTTTTTTGGTCGACAGTGTATGTGGGGAAATGGGTTTTTGGTTTCTTTTATCACTTAACTTTGGTTAAGTGGAATAAAGTGGGTATTAGCTCATCTATCTATTCAGCTCCATTAATTAGCAAACTTTACCCAAAAGTCTGGAATATTATTCTAGGAATATTTCCGCTTTTATTTTTATATTTTGGGTACTTTTGCCTACACCCATTTATACCCCTTAATTTTTACAGAGTACACTTTTTACCTCAAAAGTGACCCCAATTCACTTCAATAGGTCCTATACTTAATTTTACTCACTAATACATGCTTAATTATTTGATTACATGTAATTTACTAATTAATTAGGCTAGGGCTATTATAGCCGAAATATGATGGAAGTCAGGACCCTCAGGTCCATATAGATGCATTCGACACAGACATGTACATCCGAGGGATTGATGAGCCTATCATATCCCGAATATTTGCTACAACTTTAACTGGAGCTACGCAGGCATCGTTTTCAACCCTGCCTGCTAATTCTGTTAGATCTTTTGAAGAATTTGGAGAAAAGTTCTTGTTGAACTTTGCAACAAGCAAGAAGCATTCGAAGTCTGAGTTCGTTCTAGGAAAGATACGACAGCAACCAGGAGAAAACCTCCAGAGGTATTTGAACCGATTTAAAGATGTGGCGTTGCAAGTACCGGGTTTGCAGGAAAACGTCCAGGTACATTTAATTGTAGACGGGTTAGATGGATCTTCTCGGCTGACAAAGTCAATCTATAAAGATCTTGTAAGGACTTCAGAGCAGTTCAGAACCCGGTCAAAGAAGTATCTGAAACTCGAACAAATGGAGATAGCAAATGCACATAGTGAAGAGAACAAGAGTGTAAGCCCAAAAAGGAGAAGTTCGGCACCCGATGAAAAAGAATGACCCGACAACAAAAATAAGGATCCCCGCGGAAGAATCTCGGATGAGAGATACCGAGTTGGAAGGTATGAAAAATACACCCCGTTAAATGTGCCACGTTCTCAAATATGGAGGGAAGTGTCAATGAATGACATAAAGAAAGCAGAAAAACCCCGACCTATATTTGACAGAGGAGGTTTGGATAAATCTAGATTCTGCGTTTTCCACAATGGACCGCGACATACGACTGATTAATGCTGGGACCTTAGAGATGCCGTGGAAAATTTGTCAGAGACGGAAAGCTGTGTCAGTATGTTATCAAGACGCAGGGATGGAAAAATAATAAGAGAAAACCCGAAGGTCGGAGAAGAAGCAAGAGCCCAGCCCCAGAAAAGAAAAAGAAAGAAGATAGAAACAAAAAGGATGACTCTAATAATGATGAATTCTCAGAAGCCGAGTTTGATTGTAATGTGATTAGCAGAGCTCTTGGAGGTGGAGGAGACAAATTAAGTGCAAGACGAAGGTATCTCAGTGAAGTGTTTTCAATCAGAGATCAACCGAGGTTTAAAGAGGATCCCAGTAAGCCAGATCCTTCTCTACTCTATTTCACTAAAGAGGACATGCAAGGTGTGCTACCAGGGCATGTGGATGGTCTGGTCATTACGAGAACCCTGGTAAATTGTCGAGTTAAAAATATCTTCATAGATGCAGGGAGCTGTGCAGATATCATCATCTAGAATGCCTTCAAAAAGATGAACTTGGATGCAAAGGACCTCAAACCTTGCAAGACTACCCTGATAGCTTTCAATGGAGAAAATACACCTCCTAAGGGCTACATAGATCTCAGATTGACCCTAGGAACAAAAGAAGCTTTCAAATCGGAACGAGTAAGGTTCATCGTTGCCGACTTCACCTCCCCATATAACGTCATCCTTGGAAGACCATCCTTGCATAAATGGGACATGCTAGTTTCGACAAAACATCAAAAGATAAAGCTGGTGAGTAACAAGAATGAAGTCATCACCATTCATGGGGATCAAAGAGAATCTAGAGAATGTTACTTTAAAGCCGTAAAAAAAATGAAGGTAGGCACCTGAGTCCACCTCGAATTCGTCCAGGAGATAAAACCGAAAAAGGAAATCCCTCACCATTCAAGTAAACTGGTTAATATGGTTGAATTAGATATGAAAGAAGTTGGTGTGCTATGACCAGAGCCAGAAGGCGAACTGGAAGACCTTATGTTGGGGGACGAACCCGGTCAGTTTACTAAAATTGGTAAGACCATCAACCCCAGTGTTAAGGCGGAGATGACTGAGTTCCTCAAGAACAACAAGGATGTCTTCACATGGAAATCATCCGAGATCCCAGGCATTGCTCCAAATTTCTGCTGCCATAAATTGGCAATATATCCCGGATCTACACCAATTGTACAAAAGAAAAGAAAGCTGGGACCAGAAAGAAAACAAGTCTTGGAAGAACACGTCAAAGAATTACTCGAGACCGGGTTTATAAGAGAAATCCAATACACAACATGGCTTGATGATGTTGTCATGGTGAAGAAACTCAGTGGGAAATGGAGGGTCTGCACAAACTACACATACCTTAATAAGGTATGTTCAAAGAACTCTTATCTGATTCCCAACATAGACCAGCTGGTAGACAATTCTGCCGGGTTCTAATTGCTATCCTTCATGGATGCTTATTTCGGCTATAATCAGATCCCAATGTACCCGGAAGATCAAGAAAACATAATTTTTATTGCTGAAAGGGAAAATTACTGCTACAATGTGATGCCTTTTGGGCTCAAAAATTCTGGAGCCATATACCAAAGGATGAAGAACAAAGTGTTCGAAGATCAACTCGGCAAGAATGTTGAAGTATACATAGATGACATGAGTGTTAAATCGTTAGATATGACAAATCATGTCCGGGATCTGGACCAAACATTTCATAAGCTCAAAGCTTACCGCATCCACCACTACTATCATCACCACCACCACCATCATCCCGACACGACAACCGCCAACATCGTCACCTCCATTGTCGTACCACCAGTCTGTTGTCACCACCACTACCAACCACCACAACTATCATCGAAGCCACCACCGCCACTGCCGTCACCACTACCACCACCGAGTCACCAACCACCACCACCACCATGTCATAACCACTACCACCACCACCACCACTACCATGCCACCATCACCATCGCCACCACTACCACCATCATCACCATCATCATCATCGCAGTCATTGCCATCACCACCACTACTACCACCACGCCATTGCCACCACTACCGTCGTTGCCGCCGCCACCACTACCACATCATATGGAAAGAAAAGTGATAAATCAAAAAAAAAATTATGCTTAATAGTGATAATTTTTTATTATATTATTTGTTGTGTTATCAAACACAATTCTCATACACTTTTTTTCCTCAGAAATTGTTCCAAGGCACAGAAATAGAAAAGAATTATTTCTTTTTAAAAATATTGTCGAGGAACAGAATGATTGTCATGCACACCCTAAGTGAAAAATAATTTAATGAGGGAGTGATTATCATCATAAATTGGTAATAACACTATCTATGAGGTAAAACCGTACAAGGAGTGTTAAATTCAGATTTGTTGGGATTCTGATCACTACGGCTACTTGTTCAACAACGAGTCATTAGATAAATTAGTTAAACTATATATATATATATATATAATGTTTTTCTCATGTTACATGAGATAATATTGTCTTATGTTGAGACATAATTAGATGGATCCCACAACTAAAAAAATAGAAGAAGAAAAAAGAAATGCTGGTTCGATTTTCGATGGGTGTGTAACATGAGATAAGCTTTCTCATGTAACATGAGAAAAATATTTCCATATACATATATATATATATATATATATATATATATATATATATATATATATATATAGGATTTTATAAGAGTTATGTTGTAGAAAAAGTGATTGTGTCATGTTATAGAGATTCGTTTTTCGTGTCTTAGTTTTTTTTTTTTGCTTCAAAAAATGCGGGCTCCACAAAATGTTTTGTGTGTGTAGGAAATTTTTTTGTGTTATGTTATGATGAATGCAAAACCCATATATATATATATATATATATATAGAAAAATATATTAAATATAAATAATAAAACTTCAGATTTTGCTAGTTACGTTTAAAGAAAAAATTTTATTTCACTTCATTTTGTCCCAATTTGGAATAGGATGACTCCTTCGTTCTTTTCACCTCGCAAAGGAACCGTTCAAACAAGAAAAATAAGTGTTTTTTTTATTCAAATATATATATATATATATATATATATATATATATATATATATATATATATGGGAAAAATATTTCTGCAGTTAATGCAGATAAGTTATCTGCATTTATTCCCAAAACGACGTCGTTTTGAGATTGAAATCTTAAAATATTATAAATATAAAGACTATTATAACCCTGAAATAAATTAAAATTACAAAAATATCATAATTTTCGCCCTAAAACGACGTCGTATTGAGCTTACTGCAGATAATTATCTGCAGTAACTGCAGAAAAAACGAACCCTATATATATATATATATATGAAAAAATTATTCTTATTCCAGTATAAAAATAAAAAATTTTACTCCAAATCTTAATCATTTTCTTGTACCTAATGCTCACATATTTATTAAATTAGAACCGTTAGATGTAAATATAATCAAAGACTAAGATTAAGAGTATATATAACTTATACCATTGTAAAATAATCTCGACCCATATATATAAGACAGGATCATTTGACATCGGTGTCAAGTAAAAAATTTGACACCTTATCTGAGAATCGTTGATCTTGTCTTGATCCAACGATTCTTATTTGTAAACATATGACATCGTTGATTCATCTTGATCTAACGACTCTTAGATGAAGTGTCAAATTTTTTGTTTGACACCAAATCATAACCATTAATTTCGTGAATCTAACAATTATAATTTATTATGTTACACTTATTAATTAATTATTAATTCTCAATAAATTATAACTGTTAGATTAGAGAAAACTAACGGTTAAAATTTAATATCAAACTTTTTAGTTTGACACTGGCGTAAAGGATCCTTCTCTTATATGAGATAAGATCCTTTAATACCGATATCAAACTTTGAAATTTGACATCAAATTATAACCATTAATTTTCGTCAATCAACTATTATTATTTATTGAAAATCAATTATTAGAATTTAGTTTCAAAGTTTGACCGGTGTCAAAAGAATCTTGTCACTATATATAACAGAGCTTGATTGCTGCTACCTATGTTTATAAATATAAGATCATAGGAAATACACGTCGTGTCTATATAACATACATTATTTCTCATAATGACATTTTTTTTGTGTCACTTTCGTACTCAATTCCCACTAGCAAACATAAGATTGATTTATAGGAGTGACATAAAAAAGGAATCTATATGTGTGCGTAGTCATCATCTGAAGGGGGTCCCTGAGAAATAGCAGATAATACAACAAATATACCATATAAGATAGTGACAATGGCAGTGAAATTGACAAGGAAGGCCTCAGAACCATATTTTGCCAATCCTGCTGAGTTCTGCAGGAAAGTGAGTTTTTCCAAAAACCCAAGAGAAGCAGTTCCAACAGCCAAGAGATATACAACAAGCCCATATAGGACATGCCAAGGACGTAAATTGACTCTTAGGGTTGAACTCGCTCCAGGGTAGAGAAAGATCACAAACCCAAATATCCACTGCAGGTAATTAACAACACAATGTTACAAAATTTTGGAGGCTAACTGAATGACATAAAACTTATAATTAACTGTGAGTGTGCATATATAGGGGTAAACTATGGATTCATTTGAGCATAAGCAAAGTTCAGACTTTCAACTTAAGAGTTTGCATCTTGTAAGCCCAAACTCTTATATTAAATTGGGGCAGGATCAATTTATCAATGTAAGAATGACAATCTTTCGCCTAATCTAAGCCGTTGATCTACTTGCATCTAACAACTCTAATTTATTAACACGTGAATCGTTAGGTACAAATGGGATCAACAGTTAAGATTTAAAGTATAAGTTCCATCAGTATAAAATGATTCTGTTAATTTTGTATGCATGGGAGAGTAATGCTTTTAGGATATAGATGCAACAGCAGAGACAATAGCAATATGACACCAGAAACTCAAGCATATATCATGGACAAGGGGAATCTAGTGTTCATAATACTATTCATTATGTTTTAATACTATTCCCAAAGTATAAGAAGAATCTACTGTTGAAGGAGTATTACAATTTCAGGGTAATTTAGGGTTGAATCCATTGTAACAATGATTTACCTGAATTCCATAAAGGACAATAACACCAATTCCAAGCCATGAATGCAAGCTGTACATATTGGGAATCCCACTTTCATTATGAAACTTGAAGGCAGTATAAATTCCAGTTATTCCAAGTATTAATGCGATTTTATGGAGAACCATGTGTATCAATTTCTTGACTTCCTTTTTCAATGGAAGAGATTTGTAGCTTATAATAGCTGCAAGTACCAAAAATGAAAAATTATAATTGCTGCAATTTGTTAAGTTCAAAGTTAGAAAATAGAAGGACATTAGTTCGTAAAACAGAATCTTGTGAAAGTACATTTTATTACCTTCACCTCCAATAATTATTAATCCAATTAGCATAAGAACAGGATGGAGCTGTATCAGGAAAAAAGATACACAAGATTAAGGGACTTCACTAAAGTGGTAGAACAATTCAACTATTAACAATTTAACATAGTACACACACATAAGAATGAAGAGTCACAAATATTATAAGGAATCAAGGCTCTTGTATTAATCATAGGTATCAACTTGTTTAATAAATTGTTCTGCAGAGATCATGAATCAGATAATTCAGATTCAATTAAAGGACCCCCATCTCTGAAAATTCAGATATATTAATTACACACCATTTAATCAGATTTTATATGCTTGTGTATGTATCTTTTGCTACAAGAAAGGTGTGTATACATGTAAGTGGCATGGTCAATTGCTTATAAACCTGAGAAACTGTTTCCACCTTCTTAGACATTATGTACAAGCATATGGATAATTTTGGAGGATTGAACCTCTGACATCATCATGACACCTTTGTCTTGAAAACTGATCCAATTACAGTTGAGATAAAAGCTCATTGGGATGATTATTCATTAATGATAGCAAACTGAAAGCCAAAAGAAACAGATAGAAAATTTAAAGAATATCATTTATCCACGTCTAGTACTTGAGTTGGCACCAGTTGGAACCACTAGCACCTAAAATTTATTTCTCACACTCAAGCCCGAAACAGAAAATAAAAATAAAAATAAAAATGTGGACCCCATTATTCAGGTTAGAAATTTTGGGACCTCATTAATTATTAAATCACAAAGATAGGTAGGAAACGGGTTCAATAAATAATCAAAAGTAATAGCAAAGATAATTCATCCAATCTTCCCAAGACTAAATATCATCTCAACTTTGAAACTTTAAAAACTAGCTAGTTCTAGCCATACATGATACAACAATAATCAAGATAAACACTGGTTGTATTTATGTTAAAATAAAGTAAGGTGTCAACTAACATTGCAGATATAAGTCTTTTACAGTTAATACCAATGACATGTGTGATTAAATCACTCTTCATCTATCTACCTCCTCTGTGTGTGAGAAAAAATATTTACAGCTTGAAATCTAACAGGTTTTATGGAAACTATCTTAAAAAAGAAAAAGAAAAAATCATGACATATAGACAAAGGCATCATTTCTAATTAACAACTTTGTCGGCACTCGGCAGAGCTTGGCCAACAGTAACCCAGAAAGCAAAAACTAAACAAGATGAAGAAATTTGATAATTAACATTTAACACATCATTTCCCTCTCTAAGTAACTTGTGATCAACCAGAGGAATCAGGAAAAAGTAAAACTAAACAGAAAAAAAAAAAGAATTTTACATTTCATTGCAAGTAAATATTCAATTTTGAAATATGTTTACATAAAATAAATATATAATGAACATCAATACTACTTTTATCCCAAATTAATAGAAATTCATTGAAATTGGATGATTGGACTCTAATTAAAAACAAAAAAGATTTAAGAAAAAAAATAAATAAGAGAAAATAAATAAAGAAATACATAAAATACCTAAATAGCTTGAGAGAAAAAAATACTAGTTTATTAAATAAAAAGTTAATAAATATGATTGATTTTTAATGATAACCTCACTTTAGATATTCCTTTACCAAGTTTTATTGAAATTCATCATAAGAAAAGAAATACTAGTTTAGCTTGAACACTCGGAAATGAGGAAAAACAAGAATGAAGAGAAAAGAAAAACACTGATTTTAATGTGGAAAACCTTCCTGATACATGGGAATAAAAACCACGGATTCTAATTCAGCAACAACGTCCAATATATGAATAGTAGGATTACAAGAATTCTTCCCTAATGACTTACGAGAGGATTATACGATTTCTGCACCTTTAAAAGGATATTATACAAATTAAAGTTTCTTCTCCAAATGAGGTAACAAACTCAAATTTATTGCAAGGGATATACACTCACTAAATTTTCACTAGGAAAGTTCATCTTCTTCCAAAATCTTCACTAGTAAGTTCATTACATTTTTTTTTTTTATGAAGCAAAAAGCTTAGTTGAGAAGAGATTCTCCACACTGAAAGGACAAAGGAAATAAAAATAAGGACCATTGACATTGAATTCCCAAGAATCAGCAATACCAATAATACCCACAAATAAAAAAAAAATTTACAAGAGAGAGAGAGAGAGAAACATACATTAAAAATGAGAGCTTTGTTTGAAGAATCCCAAGCTAAGCCACCCCTGAAATGTATGTTCCAAACCAACACCATCACAATACCAGCAACTCCCAATATGTGAACTACAAACGTGAATGGAATCGCAGGTACACCCAACCCCATCTCTCTTTCTCTTTCTCTCTCACTGCTTGGATTGAAACTTGGAAGCAGAAGAACACTACTACTATGTTTGCATTCTCTCTATTTATTGCCTTGTTAACTTTGCCACGTGGCTTGTTTTCACGGGACAATCCAAAGCCTAGTTGTTTTTAGTCTCGTGTCTCTATTAATTACCCCTCCAATTTCCCTTCATGCAAATTTATTTTGTTTCTATTCTTAATAAACATATGGTCCTCGTTCAATTATAATACATTATGTAATGCGTTTATCCAAAAATAAATATAGTATGTAACAACATACTCAAGCATTTGGTAAATGGGAAATACATATGTGATGTGATAGGATAGGAAAACAATTTCCTGCACAAGGTGGGGCCCACCGTAAAAAAATTAAAAATCAAAAGAAATGTTAGCACAATATTCAATGAGTCACTAAGAATTGTTTTCTCTATCATATTACATGATAGATGTATTTCTCTTGATAAATTGAGAAAAATATTTTTGCATTTGTGGCAAAAAGAATATTTCTCATAAAAAAATGGAATGGAGCCCACATATTACTAGTTTTTCTCCTATTTTATATTTCTCTCTCTTTATTTATTTTCTTTGTGATAGAAATTTTTTTTTGTCACATGTGAGGAAATATTTTTTCCAATATAAATTATGCAAAAGAAGAGGAAAAAGCTTTATCACAGAAGCTATAACAGATTATCATGTGACACTATTTTTTATGGTCATTATAATGTGATGACATATTTTGTAGACGACTCTGTATATTAATCGTATGGCTTTTATTTAATAATATACGTGGTATTGCGGACGTCAAATTGACATTTAAACAACCATGAACCATGTATAATGCCCTTTTTATGAGGTGAAAGCTACGTGACGACTAAATAAAAAATCATGGGGTCACATCATTTATATGGCATTGATACTAGAATTGAAAAAACCTTCTTTAGGGAAGCTTATGTAGGTCACATAATTTATATGGCAGTAATACCAGAATTGAAAAATCTTCTTCAGGCAAGCTCATGTTCGTCACATCATTTATATGGCGTCAAATTCCATTATTAGCTTGTCTCTTAAGCATGACGACTCAATATTACGAGTAATTATCAAAAGACAAATAGCTTTTCGAGTAATTTAGAGAACAATCGTCTTAACAAGGGACAAAGGCCAAATCTATTTTGCATGTTCTACAATAATGACCCAAATATGTAATTGTGAGTTTAATTATGTATTAAGAAATTTATGGTAAATAATGAAGAGTAATTAGATAGAAAGTCTAATTAAAATAAATTAAAGTCACATTTGGTAAAAAAGAAGAAGAAAAAATGAAAGTATTGGGTTAAAAACGCCGGTAGACAAAGTTATGCGAAATTTAAAAGTAAATTGGTAGATGTTATGTTACGATGCGAAGATCTCATAGGATTAAGAGAAGTTCAATCCGTTTGGATGACTATATAGCATAAGTGTCATATGATGTAATTGGAAAGCTAGACAACTGTTAGGTAGTTAGTGGTAAAGGACGGGTGTAATACAAAGTTAGTGGTAAGGGACAAGTGTAATACAAATTAAAATTAAAATTTGTTTTTGAGAACTCATTGAATAAAAAACAGAATTTTTCCTTTATCGTTCCTTCAGTTTTCTCTCGGTCCTCTGCCAAATTAGGATCCATATCCTAATATTGGTGCTTTCATCCTTGAACACCCAAAGCTTGAAGACTCATATAGATCTACAATGCGGATTCAGGAGTTAGCAGAGGAATTCACCTCATTCCAACAATGCATGGACAACAACATTGAAGAGATTCGTCTTCAAGCTACCGATAACCAAAATCAGATCTCCTTGTTAGTAGCTCAAATGCAGCAGCTTCAAGAAGCATTCTTGTCACGACCACCGCCGAGAAGGAACTCTCAAGATGAGTCCACCTCTTCACGACAACCCACGAATCAAAATAACCTGTTTGAGCATCGTTCACTGCTTAAAGGGGTGCGTATGGAGATACCCATTTTCAATGGCACAGAACCAAATGTTTGGATTTTTAAGGCTGAGCTTTTCTTTCATTTACAACATATTCCCGAAGAATCCAAAGTCCCTTTAGATGAAATTCGAATGGAAGGCATGGCAGTTGCATGGTTCCAATGGATGTTTAATGGTGGCACTATTAACAATTGGAAAGCTTTCACCATTGCCTTGCGTCAAAGATTTGGCATGTCAGCCTTTGTAAACCTGAAGGGTGCCCTATCCAAGTTAACCCAGACATCGACGCTTAGGGATTACGTTCAACGCTTCGAATCCTTGGTTAATCAATTTCCTGAATTAGATGACGACCTGCTTATGAATTTTTTCATATTGGTTTTGCAAGCAGAATTAAGGAGCGCAATCCAATTGAGGACAACCATAAACTTTCATCATGTTGTACAATTAGCTATGGCTTACAGTGATCATCATGGTGAACTGAGAACTTCTTTTTCTGGGGGCTCAAAGAAGTTTGTATCTCGCACTCCAGTTGCTCTTGAAAATGCCCCTCAATTAGTTCCTCCTGTTAATCACAGCCAACCTTTGGCTCTACCTTCTAACTCAAACATTAAGCGTTTCTCCCACATTGAATTGCAAAATAAAAAGGAATTGGGTCTGTGTTATAGTTGTGATGAGAAGTGGGCTAAGCAACATAGATGCAAAGCCAAGTTTATGTTGCTGATAGGTGAGGAGGAATGCTTGGAGTCAGACCCTGATGAGGAACAAATTATTTGGCAAACTGATCAACCCACTACTGCACCAATGGATGCCTCTTTGCATTCTTTATGTGCAAATGAGCATAAACATGCCTTGACTTTTATGACAAGTTTGGAAGGTAATATTGTTTCTGTTTTGATAGATTCCGGAAGTACCCACAATTTCTTGCAGAAAAATTTAGCTTTGCAACTTAAATTGCCTATTGACGTGCGCTGTCGATCCCACGCAAATTACCGAGCTTTAGGTTTGTAGTGTTAGGGTAACTCGGATCCTCTTCCAAAGAACCTGCTAGAAATCAGAAACGCTCTTGTAGAATAGAATATAAAAAGAAAGAATATTTTGTTGATTTGAAATTTAAATAAAAACAAATTTAAAATTTGGATTTAAAAATTAGAATTAAAAAGCAATCAACCTAAGGAATCAGGATTCATTAATTTATTTCGTCATTGGATTAAAAGATAATTATCAATTTGTGATTAACCCTAATTAAATTTGGAATCCTCAAATTCAATTGGAAATCCTCTCTAGACTATCGCCTAGCGTTTGGTTGAATACAGTATCTCAACTATGCGATCGCAGTAGTCTTGATCTGTTCAACTTATGTTCATCGGGTAAATTAATCTGACCATTAAATCTAATGATTAATTTTCCCTTATAGAATTCAATCACAGTATTCAGTTTGAATATCTACTATCGCATGATATTCAACCTAAATTGGGAAAAAACGAAACTGATTTAAAAAGTTAAAAATAGATCATCTGAAATAAACTAACAAAACTTTAACCTTAGATTGATTAAAGGTGTTTAGCCTAGTATCGCGAGGTTAAACATCATTCAAAATAAAATAAGGAAGAAGAGAAAGAAGTAGATGAAAAGAAAGAGCGCAGAATTTCGATAAAGAAAACTAAAAACAATTATTCAATTCCAAAATCTATCTGCCGAAGGGTTTCCTAACGTTTCCCTTAAATAACCCACTTTCAGAACGAGTTAGGGTTTCACCACTTTGGCCCATACATAAAATAAAAACTTAATAAAATAAAACATTAAAACATGGCCTTGGACCCTAAACACATTGGGTTCTAATTAATTTACAAGTCCAAACGTCAAAATAAAATTTTAGCAAAATTATGTCATCTTGGGCTCAGGTTTCGACCATCTTCCCGTCTGAATTGGGCTTCAGTGTCTGAAATAGAGATTGTAGCTCTTTCTGTTAGCTGCAAAACTCAATAAGAAAGGAGTAAATCGGACATTTGTAGAGTGTGATATGGCCAAACTACAAAAGTAGTGTAAATCTGGAAAATTATGACGAAAATCAATTAAACCCAATTAAAATCTAGAATTCTGATTTGACCCAAAAGACCTTTATTTAATTCAAATAAATCCTAAAAATACCAACCAAGAGTAATAAATAAGTGTAACAAAATATGTGTTATCACCTATGATTCGCACACAGAAGTTACGAGTTTTCTTAGGGAATGGTGAATTTCTCCTCTCTGATCGGAAGTGTCTGCAAGTTCTTATTTAATTATAAGATATTGTTTTTCTGGTTGATTTTTGGGTAATTGAATTAGCAGAACTCAATGTTGTGCTTGGCATGCCTTGGCTTGAACTACTTGGTAGAGTTACTCATGGTTATAGTAAACTAACGATGGAGTTTTTATGGAAGGGATGTGATGTTGTGTTGCAAGGGGTGCAACCAAAATCTATAGGAGATTCTAAACTAAATTGTGTTCATGTTGAATATGCTACATGTTCCATGCAGATTTCGAATGAGAAATTCCATAACCCCAAAGTAAATTCCGAAGTTGCATCACTTGAAAAGAAGCTCCACCTGAAGCTATGGCAAGTCATTGTAAATCATTAAGAGGTATTTGCTATTCCTTCTGTCCTTCCTTCTTTTCGTGGGTGGGACCATTCCATTCATCTGATGGAGAGCACCAAGCCCATCAACGTGAAGTCTTATCGTTATGCTTATGCCCAAAAGACTGAAATAGAACGCCAGGTTTCAGATTTACTCAGAACAGGCTTTATTCAACACTCACAGAGTCCCTATTCGTCTCTAGTGCTCTTAGTCAGGAAGCAGGATAACACATGGAGGCTTTGCATTGACTATAGGGCCTTAAATGCAGCTACTATCAAAGATAGGTTTCCAATACCTACAATCGATGAGTTGCTAGATGAATTGGGAGGCTCTTCCATGTATTCCAAGTTAGACTTAAGAGCAGGTTACCATCAAATACGAATGTTGCCTGCTGATGTGCCAAAAATAGCCTTTAAGACTCATGAAGGCCACTATGAGTTCCTAGTTATGCCTTTTGAC